GGCTGAGCACCAACTGCCTGCTCTGCACCTGCCTGCACCCCGTTGGCGTGGGCTGCTGCGAGACGTGAGTGAGGGGCTGCAGAGGGGAGGGGGGCGTGGGGGTTCTGGTGGCTGCAAACACAGCACAGCAAACATGAAAGCCTCAGGGGGCTGCTGGGTGCCAGGCACTGGGGGGACAAGGGGCTGAAGTGGGCAGGAACCCAACAGGGTGGTGGGGCAAGTTGAGGAGGACAAAAGCAAGGGACAGAGGTGTCTCAACACAGCGAGATGCCAGAAGTGGTGGCCCAGCTTGCCCAAGCTGGTCTGTCTGTGAGTGCTGGCAGTGGAGAAAGCCACCTCACCCTGCCAGCAGCCCCTCCCTGGCATGGAGCAGGGAGAGCTGACGGCGCTGTGCCCTCTCCCACAGCACCCAGCACCCCATCGACTTCCCCGACTGGTGCGAGGCCCACTACGACTCGCAGACCTGCCAGATCTCCGTGGTGCAGAAGGCCAACCCCAGCCTCCCCTGCGTGAAGAGCATGGAGCACGAGTGGGGCTCCTCTGGCACCCCCGAGCCACTCATCAACAAGGTGCTGGGCGCGGAGCTGAGCAGATAGCCCGTAGAGACGTCGCTGCTGCCATCTTTGAGGGAAACCACTGTCCATGCATTACGGCTCTGAGATAACATTTACACCCCAGCCCTGCCACGGTACAGCTTTGCTTCCCCTTTCAGCTTCCCGAACCAAACCAGGGCCCCCTCCCTGTGCACTGTGGGAAGGTGGATCCCTACAGGTCCCTTCCCAGGTGGGCAGGAAACTTCAGCTACTAGAGAGGGCTATGGGACCAAATTAGCCTGCAGTCTGGTACTCCCACACCCAGCCTCAAGCTCAGCAGCTCCCTCCTCCCTCTAAGCCCCCTGACCCCCCGCACAGCAGCTGTTGGGAGTTTGCTGGGGAGCACCATAGCCCTTTGTGCAGGATCCGTGCACCCCAGCCAGCCCCTTCTCTGTGCCAGAGCACAAGGGGCACAACCCACCTTGGAACCACTAATGCCCCTGCTCCTGCAGCTCCCAGGGCTGGAGGGGATCGCCAGCACTGCAGGCCAGCCCTGGGCAACAGTGCAATGGAGCCAGCCCAGGACAGGGGGCAGAGCAGGGGGAACCACTAAAAGATGTCCCCAGCCCAGCTGCAGGGGAGCAGGGAGGGGAGCTGGGTGCCCTGTTGGGTTCAGGGAGCTGAAGCAATCCACACGTGCCAAGGTGTAGCCGGCCACCCTGGCAGCCTGCCCCAGCTGGTGCCACTCCTGTGCTGTGCAGAGCCTTGTGTAGATGTTTCTCTTCTTGCAATAAAGATATGAAACAAACAGGTCTCCAGGCTGTGACTGTCATGCAAGTTGGACTTGTGTTCACCACCAGGAATGGTGTAGCAATAAGGCTCCTGGGAGGGGCAGGTTCTGAATATTCAGATGTTTATTAGATCTCCATGCAAAGAGGAAAACTCTTTGAAAGGATTGGCAGAAATGGGGAGCTGGCTGTCAAGCAGGGAGACCTCCATCCCAGCCCTCGAATGCACAACACTCCAATTCATGCCAGCTCCCCAGGGATCCCCAGACCAGCAGGATGCCTCCATGCTTGGGGGCACAGGCAGAGAACAGCCCAGGTGCTCGGTGCTTCTCAGTTTTGCATCACCACTACCATGCTGACACAGCAGGTGGCTGCATCCAGGACACCAGCAACTGCTGGCCTGCCAGGACCTGACAACTCTGGGTGAGGGTAATGGGGGCACCAGGCTGTGTGCATCGAATCACAGGACTGTGCTGGTTGGAAGACACCTTTAAGATCCCCGAGTCCAACCATTAATCTGTCTCTACTGAGACCAGTGCACAGAATAATCCTGAGAGGTGCACCAGACACCCCTCACAAGAGCCAGGTGTGCCAGGGCAGGCTCCCACCAGAGGGATGCCAGACCTCCACTCATGGGCTCTCACTGTAGAGGAATGGCCTTCACCCAAGGCTTCTATGGGGTGTCAGTGGAAGAGCTTCCATCTCCATTCCCTAGGTTGGGCCTTTCACTCTTGGAAGCCCCTCGTGGAGTAAGGCATGTTGGACTGTTCCCCTGGAGGCAGATTTATTTTTGGTGAGGGTCAGGACTCATGCCTTCACCCAGGCAGGGAGGGTCCAGCTCCCCACTGAGGGCTGCAGCGTGACACTGCAGCAAGTGCAGTGCTCCTCCACCTGCAGGCAGGACAGATTTCCTGGTGCCACCTGGGTGTCACAGATGAACCTACAGGGACATTGGGATGTGCACCCCACAGCATACTGGTGACAGTCCTGCCTGCCATTCCCACCAGCAGCCCTGCAGGTGCCTACCAGTCTACCAGCTCTTCCTGCTTCAGATGGTGATGGAGTTGGTGCTGGAGAACTGAGATACATAGGAAGCCAGGATGGGGTTTGTAGGAAGGACTTTGATGGGCAAGTCCCAGCTGAACGTGTCCACATCCATCTGCTCCACCCCAGTCCAGGTGATGGCTTCTGACTGGCTCCCACGGACCAGGCAAGTTCCT